TCACCAGGTCATCTAGGCTGAGAGGCTCACAGTTGTCCTGAGTTCCCCATTATAACTGAAGATTATCTAACTCACCAGGTCATCTAGGCTGAGAGCCTCACAGTCGTCCTGAGTTCTCCGTTATGAGTGAAGATGATCTAACTCACCAGGTCATCTAGGCTGAGAGGCTCACAGTTGTCCTGAGTTCTCCATTATGAGTGAAGATGATCTAATTCACCAGGTCATCTAGGCTGAGAGGCTCACAGTTGTCCTGAGTTCCCCGTTATAAGTGAAGATGATCTAATTCACCAGGTCATCTAGGCTGAGAGGCTCACAGTTGTCTTGGCTTTTCCCCTTGTCCCATGGGTTCAGCTGCTAAGTGCCAGAGTTTGTTTTTACATGGTTTTGTCCTTTTCTGCTGTCATCATTTAGTTCATTCTCTTTCTTTAATTTATAGTATTTGTTCGTTTTCTCTTCCTTATTCTCCTCACTGTATGTGTCACTGCTGGATAATCTTTTTAAAACGCCACAGTTTTCAGGTTATGCCATTGCTCAGACATGGTGATTGGCTCCCCTTGTCTATCTACCCAATGGAGTCTTAACCTCACAGTCTTACTGTCAAGACAGTTCCAGTGTTTTCCCTGGGCTGGTCTGTTGTTCCTCAAAACAACGCCTCCTAGTCTGTCCTGGGTAGGTTCCCTGCTCTGCTTACCACTCTACTTTTTCATACACTTTTCAAAAAAACTTCCTTTTAGCCTCTGACCAGTCTGTTTTGTCACTTTCTTGTCCAAATTTCATCTGTTCAGTAGGACTCTTTCCAAGGGAATGAGCTAGGTGTGTTTCAGAGACCAGTTTGGTTGGAGAGTAGGAAAGGGGAAAATTAGGTTGTTTTTTTCCTAACTTTTAAATTCGTAAGAGATTAGTTGAGAGAGAGCCAGATTCCATCGGGCTTTCTGGGCCATGGTAAGGAGTTTGGATTTGATTTTAAGTGTGTGCAACTGGAAGATGCTGTTGTGAAGCCTGATGATCTTATTTATGCTTTTAAAAGATTTCCCTGGTGTTTTATGGAGATTGGGCTATAGAGGAGCTAGAACCGAGGTAGAAAAGTCAGTTAAAAGGCAGATAAAATAATGTAGGGTATAAATGAAGATGGCTTGAACGATGATGATGTGAAACAGTCAAATTCAGGATTTGAAGATCCAGTGATCTTGCCTGTGGTTTCGATGAGAACAGTTAGGGAAAGGGAGAATTTAAGGACGTATCCCGCGTTCTTGCCTGAATTAGATAGGTAGTGGTGCCGTTTACTGTTTGGGGGAAGTGGAGAAGAGAGGAGTTTTAGATAATGGTTTTGGCCATGTTAAAGTTGAGACGCCTGCTGGAAATTCAAGTAAAGTGTTGACTAGGCAACTGGGTATGTGAGTCTAGGACTCACAGCAGCTTCGGGGCCAGAGATCAGGATTTAGGGTTCAACAATGTATACTTTTTTTTTTTAATAGTATTTTATTGTGTTTTCGGTGAAGGTTTACACAGCATTTTAGGTTCCCATTCAACAATTTGTACACAAGTTGTTCAGTGACATTGATTACTTCACAGTGTGTGAACATTCTTATTATTTCTGTTCCGGTTGTTCTGTTTCCATTAATCTAGTTTCCCTGCCCCCTTACCTTCTCATCTTTGCTTTAAAGTAATTATTGGCCCTTTGGTCTCATATTGGTGATTTTTAAAAGGAGCACAGTACTTATGGGTAATAGTCATTATTTTTTGAATCAGTTTGTTATCTAGCTACAAGGTGACCTTAGGGGTTAGTTTCAGTTTAAGGTTTAAAGAGTATCTCAAGGCAGTAGTCTTGGGGAGTCTTCTAGTTTCAACCAGTCCAGTAGGTCTGGCTTTTTTTTTTGAATTTGAGGTTCTTTTCCACATTTTTGTCTCATTATATCAGGATCCATCTATTGTGGCCCTGATCTGAATGGTCAATGGTGGTAGCCAGGCACCGTCTAGTTCTTCTGGTCTCAGGATAGATGAGGCCATGGTTCATGTAGACTGTTTGTTGTGCAGACTAGTTTCTTCGTATATAAATGATTTTTAAAACCAGATAAGGATAAGATCACCCAGGACAGAGGACTGAGCCTTTATGAGAACATGTGTGTTCATTCATTTAACATGTATTTATTGAGTGGCTACTCTATGCCAGCCACTGATCCAAGTACTTAGTACACAGTGATGAGCAAAACTGGCAGAAGATCCATGCTTACATGCTAGCAGGGGAAAGTACTGGGTAAATACTAAACATAATAGCTCTGTGTGTTAGACAGTGTTACTGTGACAGAGAAGAAGTGCAGTGGGGATTAGGGGATGGCAGGGGACAGGGCAGGTCGCAGGGTTGGCCAGTCCAACTTACTACCAAACAGAGTTTTCATTTGCTTTATGTCCCTCCCACCCTCCAAAATAGAATCGAGGTTTTGAAAAGACTTAGGAAAAAAAACTAAATTTGTGCTTTTTGGTTTCCCTATTATGTTAAAATAACTGTGCTATTGCTTGTTGATTTTGTACTAAATATGTTAGAATAAAACTGATGGTTTTTTAAAAGAAGGAAACTTTTCCCTATAAAGCTACACTAGCGAACAGGAAAAAGGTTTTAAGGTTATTTGATTGTAATAACAGTTACAAATGTCTGTATTAAAAGGCTCGATAGTTCCGAAATGGATCACAGTGAAAATGAAGATTACACAATGTCTTCACCGTTGCCGGGGAAAAAAAGTGACAAGAGAGAGGACTCTGATCTTGTAAGGGTGAGAGATTTGATTGTGTGATAGTTTTAATAAGAATAACAACAGCTTTACTGTATAAGTAATAATTTTTACACTGAAACCAGTTCATACTACTCTCAAATTTGACATCTGATTTTTTTGTTTTGTCTTTAAGTGATTTCAGTCACAACTTTGAGTATGCAATTATCCTCTACCATGTCATTTAAGTATATTGAATCTCTGTATTTCTTGTCATTCTGATAAGTAATCTTTAATTTTTATGTCTTTGGAATCAAACATGCAGTTTCATACTCAGAAATGCTAGTTTGTTTTTTAAACAAATAAGTTTGGATTTAGCCTTAGAGGTGAATGGAATGAAGGTCCTTGAAGACTTCTCCATTTGGTTGATTTCTTGAGCCTTTAATTACTTAAATAAGTTTCTGGTACAGGTAGAAAATGCCACAATTTTCATAAAGTCCTTGTTGAGTTTTTAAATCTTAACAGTGATAACTTGTATTATAGACACAGTTTGTCAATGTCATTTGCAGACAAATTTGGTAAAGTTTTAGTACAGATATAGAACACAGTTATGTATTGCAACACAACCCAGCGGCCTTAAAATTGGGCCCATTTTAATGTTTCGGTTAAGCTCTAAACATTCCTTAAATAACCAAGTAGAATCTCTGAATCAGTTTCCTTATCTGTAAAAGGTAGATACTTAGCTAGCAAGGTTTATCAGAACAAAGGAATGAACTGAGAAGATGAAAATTGTTATTGCTGCTGTTTTATTGTTATTATAATGATTAATAATTATGACTAATGATTGTCCTAACAGTAAAAGTTAAAGTGTTTTAGTCTACCCAGTTGATAGGAGTGGGGTTATTGATAAAATGATGCTGCTTTCTCCGAAGTAGTACAGCCCTTCTTGTCTTCCACTGGGCCAACACTAGGCCTCCCAAGAGTGTACGGTATTTTCAGTTGTTTTTGGGTTTCACCAGTAATTCGTTTTGCCACATTGTTTCTTCTCATTTCTCTTAGAAAAAACTTATAATTCTAAAATTCTTACTAAATCCTTACTACCTGCACTTCATATTCTGATTTGTATTGACTGTTTAAAAATTTTACTCAAGCAGAATTAAAAATTGATGGCTTGGCCAGAAAGGAATCCTGTTATCTGGGTTTATAGAAAAGAATCCTTGAATTGGAAAAGGTATTTATGTCTTCTCAGTTAATGCAGACATTTCTTCATTATTGCCCAGGAGAGTTGGTTACCAGGTGCTTGAAAATGCCATAAGTGCACACCTCCTGGTTCCCTTCATTTGTTGGAGAGGTCAGGAGGGCCACGCACACCCAAACCCACATTCCCCCCATTCCCAAGTTGGGAAACATGACTTTTTATTAATTCTTCTTCACATTTTGTGGCCCTGTAAATTCCATATTTAGTCCTGCCTTTTGGAGCAATGCAGAACAAAATCTTACTGTGTCTTTTATGGAGCAGTCTTGAATTTCTGAGCTCTTGAGGATTTATTTGTAGAATCGCAGTGGAGGCCTTTTGCTATTTGTTGCAGCAGGCATAGAATGTAACATTGGGTCCTTTATCAGAAATACTACAAGTACTTTATTACTAAGGTGGTTTCATCTGAAACGCCCTCAAGGGGTGAACATTATGAAACACAAGTTCAATTCAGATTAGAACCAAAGGTAACATCTTATTTGCAAATACCTTTTTTCAACAATATAAACGGCGGCTATACATGTGGACCTGGCCAGATGGAATATATAGAAATCATATCAACTACATCTGTGGAAAGAAATGATGGAGAAGTTCAATATCATCAGTCAGAACAAGGCCAGGGGTGGACTGTGGAACAGACCATCAATTGCTCATATGCAAGTTCAAGTTGAAGCTGAAGAATATTAAAATAAGTCCACGAGAGCCAAAGTATGACCTTGAGAATGTCCCACCTGAATTTGGAGATCATCTCAAGAATAAATTGGATGCATTGAACACTAATGGCGTAAAATGAGACAAGTTGTGGAATGACACCAAGGACACCATACATGAAGAAAGCAAGAGGTCATTAAAAAGGCAGGAAAGAAAGAAAAGACCAAAATGGATGTCAGAAGACACTCTGAAAGTTGCTCTTGAACGTCGAGTAGCTAAAGTGAATGGAAAAAACAATGAAGTAAAAGAGCTGAACAGAAGACTTCAAAAGGCAGCTCAAGAAGACAAAGTAAAGTCTTATAACGAACTGTGCAAAGAGCTGGAGATAACCAAAAGGGAAGAACACACTTGCATTTCTCCAGCTGAAAGAACTGAAGAAACAATTCAAGCCCCAGTTTGTAATATTGAAAATTTCTTATGGGAAAATATTGAATGATGCAGGAAACATCAAAAGAAGATGGAAGGAATACAGAGTCACTGTACCAGAAAGAATTGGTCGATGTTCAGCCATTTCAGGAGGAAGCATATGATCAGGAACTGCTAGTATTGAAGGAAGAAGTCCAAGCTGCACTGAAGGCATTGGCGAAAAACAAGCCTCTGGGAATTGATGAAATACTAATTGAGATGTTTCAACAAATGGATGCAGAACACTGGAAGTGCTCACTTGTCTTTGCCAAGAAATTTGGAAGACAGCTACCTGGCCAACCAGCTGGAAGAGATCCATATTTGTGCCTGTTCTAAAGAAAGATGATCCAGCAGAATGCGGAAATCATCAAACAATATCGTTAATATCACACGCAAGTAAAATTTGACTGAAGATAATTCAAAAACAGTTGCAGTAGTACATCCACAGGGAACTGCCAGAAATTCAAGCTCGATTCAGAAGAGGTCATGGAACGAGGGATATCATAGCTAATGTCAGATGGATCTTGGCAGAAAGCAGAGAATACCAGAAAGATGTTTACCTGTGTTTTATTGATGATTCAAAGGCATTCAACTGTGTGGATCATAACAAATTATGGATAACATTGTGAAGAATGGGAATTCCAGAACACATAATTGTGCTCATGAGGAACCTGTACATAGACAGAGAGATAGTCGTTCAGACAGAACAAGGGAATACTACGTGGTTTAAAATCAGAAAGGTGTACGTAAGTGTTGTATCCTTTCACCATACTTACTCAATCTGTATGCTGAGCGGATAATCTGAGAAGCTGGACCACCTGAAGAAGAACATGGCATCAGGATTGGAGGAAGACTTATTAACAACCTGCGATATGCAGATGACACAACCTTGCTTGCTGAAAGTAAAGAGGACTTAAAGCACTTACTGGTGAAGATCAAAGAAAACAGCCTTCAGTATGGATTACACCTTAACATAAAGAAAACAAAAATCCTCACAGCTGGACCAATGAGCAACATCACGATAAAGAAAATATCGGAAGTTGTCAAGGATTTCATTTTACTTGGATCCACAGTCAACGCCATGGAAGCAGCGGCCAATAAATCAAATGACATATTGCGTTGGGCAGATCTGCTGCAGAAGACCTCTTAAAGTGTTAAAAAGCAAAAATGTCATCTTGCGGACTAAAGTGCACCTGACCCAAGCCATGGTATTTTCAGTTGCCTCATATGCATGCGAAAGCCGAACAATGAATAAGGATGACCAAAGAAGAATCGATGCGTTCAAATTATGGTGTTGGCAAAGAATACTGAGTGTATCATGGACTGCCAGAGGAATGAACAAATCTGTCTTGAAAGAAGGACATCATGCTTGGTAAAGTAGAGGGTCAGCAGAAAAGAGGACGTGTGTGTGTGCGCATGTATGTATATATATCGTTATTGTTAGTTGCTGTCATTCGATTCTAACTCATGATGACCCCATGTGTGCAGAGTGGAATTGCTCCACAGAGTTTTCAAGACTGACTTTTCAGAAGCAGATTGAGGTGGCTCTGGGTAGGTTTGAACTGCCAACCTTTTGGCTAGTGGTTGAACGCTTAACCATTTCCACCACCCAGGCTCCTATTTATATTGACATATCTGGACATAGCCTTAAAAATAAGAAGTAGGAAACCAATGTAGAAAAAATGTCCATACTGAGGTGCATAGAAGAGAGAGAGAGGGAAGAGATGCCACGTACCTGCATGGGAAAATAAAGAAAGATGGTGGTTCTTTCTAAATGAGTATGTAATTGTAAAATTCCAATGTGATTTTAAGTCCATGTGGGAGAAGAAACGGATATACAAAATGTAGAAGCAAGAAAGATAGGATCAGCCCATTCAGACACAAACACATTTAGATATAATTAGTAAAATATTGTGGTACTGTTAAAAAAATAGCCCCGTAACATTCACGCATATTAAAACTTAACGCAAAAGGCAAGAAGTGTCACGTGTCAGTGGTTCTGAAATAAGCGGCCAGCTCTGTGGGGTCGGGGTGGGGGAGTTTACAGCTCCATCTCACATCCTATTATAAAACAAGATACAACAGGAATTAAATTTAATCACACACCAAGTGTAGAAAAATGTAGATAAAAACACTAAGACTTGGAGGGACAAATGGACAGTAATACCAAGGAAATAATCAGGCTGTTCACTTTCAGAAAAAGCAGATGACTAATTAAGCATATAAAAGAAAATCTTTCTTTTGTTTTCACTGATTTTTAAGAATGTAAATTGTTATCCCCTTCCTGGAGCTGAACTTGGTAATAAAAACATGTGTACATGTAGTTGTGTGTGGGTATGTGGAAAGCATAGACAATCACGTGTACACTTTACATTCATGGCCGCCACGGACACTTTCCCCAGTCTCCATTTGTTGGTCAACCCGTAAATTCTGTGAAGGTAGACTAGTATTTTATTTTAAATTTAAAACTCACTGATTTTTTGTTGTCGTTGTTAATGAGTTGTATCTGGGAAGAAGTGGTATCTGTGATTCAGAAGTGTTTTCAGAATTTTTAGTAAAGGATCAGTATGTTTGACTTTTATATCTTGCAGCTTGCATCTATAAAATCACGGTGGTTCTTTTATGATGTTCTCAGAATTAATGATACATTTATATATGAAGTTGATATTTTAGGTCACGTGACGCACTATGTGGCAAAGTTAGCATTTCTTGAACTATGGAAACAAACCCATTTTTCTTGGTCCATTAGGACCGAGCAATGAATTCAGAATTTTCTTTTTCATGAAAGAACTTTCACTGAAATTTATTATTTAAATTTAAGCCTAATCTTGAGAGGTTCCCACTTGACACTCTCAAGCTTCAGAGTAAGAATGAAAATCTACCCTCATAGACCAGAGAATTTTTTAAAAAATAAAATACCTATTAATAAAAGCAAGTCCATAGTTATGGTTCTGATATATTCCAAAACTGTATACCTTACTTAGGTACTTTTTTTATAGCAGAAGTAGATAAAATATTTTATTGTTTCAGTCTTCAAAATATGCATACTGATGATTTTATGTTTTAAATTGGGTTTTTTATTCCTAGTCTGAATTAGAGAAGCCTAGAAGCCGGAAAAAAACGCCCGTTACAGACTCAGAGGAGAAGCTGGGTGTGGATGACCTCAGCAAACTGGTCCAGGAGCAGAAGCCTAAGGGTGGTCAGCGTGGCCGGAAGAGGGGCCACACGGCCTCCGAGTCAGATGAGCCGCAGTGGCCCGAGGAGAAGAGGCTCAAGGAAGACCTGTTAGAAAACGAAGACGAACAGAACAGTCCCCCAAAGAAGGGTAAAAGAGGCCGGCCACCAAAACCTCTTGGCGGAGGTATCCCTAAAGAAGAACCAACAATAAAAACTTCCAAAAAAGGAAGCAAAAAAAAATCGGGACCCCCAGCAGCAGAGGAAGAGGAAGAAGACGACAGACAAAGTGGAAATACAGAGCAGAAGTCCAAGAGCAAACAGCATCGGCTGCCCAGGAGAGCGCAGCAGAGGTAAGTACGTGCCACCTGAAACCACTTCTGTTCCATTACCATGTGATAAACCGTCATTTGATGCTATCCACATTTGGGTCTCCCCAAAGCAGAGCAGAATCTCCTGAAACTAGTGCAGTTGAATCCACACAATCCACACCACAGAAAGGACGAGGAAGACCGTCAAAAACGCCATCACCATCACAACCCAAAAAAAATGTGTAAGTTGTAAATCATATTAAATTTCAAGTCAATTTCCAATTATTTTGTAAAAGTTCATAAATACATAAATATAGCTAGGCCTGTATTTAAATCCTCATATATATTTAGCCCCGTGACGTAGGTAAGATATTATTTTTATAAACTCATCTAGATGATTGATATTCCAGTTAACCCTTTGGGAACATTTGTGCATTTCTACAGGTTTATAAATGAATATTAAATAGTTTATTATTTCTTACGTGGCACAGTGGTTGAAGTGCTGAACTGATAACTGAAAGGTCGGTAATTCAAACCCACCAGCCACTCTGCGGGAGAAAGATGTGGCAGTCTGCTTCTGTAAAGATTACAGCCTTGGAAACCCTATGGGACAGTTCCACTCTGTCCTGTAGGGTCACCGTGAGTCAGAATTGACTCCATGGCAGTGGGTTTGGTTTGGTTTATTTCCTGTGTAGACTTTATGGTACCTAGAGAGAAGGTGAGGTATTGTCAATCCTCCCAGCCCATGGCGCGTGTCGCCTGTTCAGTACACGCTGCAGTTTGTTTTCATGTCTTCCCTTAGCAACTGTTCTTTTAGAAAACATTAAAATAGCATGGACACTTCTACTTTTACTTCTGTGAACTTATAGCCGGAAATTAATAGCTATCAGTTTTCTTAAATTATGTTCATAGAAATTAATTATCCCATGTCGATCTAAAGTTCTTGATGTCTTGGTTATGTTTGTTTGCTAATCTAATTAGAATATCTATCTATATATAAGGAGCCTTGGTGGCGCAGTGGTTAAGCGCTTGGCTGCTAACCAAAAGGTTGGCGGTTTGAACCCAGTAGCTGTTCCACAGGAGAAAGATGTGGCAGTCTGCTTCCGTAAAGATTACAGCCTTGAAAACCCTGTTGGGCAGTTCTACTCTGTCCTAGAAGGTCGTTATATATTGGAATCAACTTGATGACAATATTTTTTTCTTTTTTTTTTTTAAATCCATATATAGATAGTTTTGGATTTTCACAAAAACACATATTTATAAGGGAATTACAATAACAGTATTGTACCCAAGATTATGAATGTGGCAGGAGCATCAATGGTGTAATTTGTAGGTTTAGCAGTATTTTTTATTCACTTATTTAAGTGGAAAAGAATAGCAGGGCTTCATAATATTACTAAGAAGTTCTACACTCTTTCTGAGTGTGATTCCATTACATAATTCCATCATAAGCTTGACTTTCCAGAGTTGCCAGCACGCCTCAGTTAAATAGGTGTTTTTCCTCTTCCTGTGAAGAGGAAAAGCTGCCCGAGTGTCTAGCCAGTGCTTTGCGCCTTCTTTTATTTATTTTTCGCTCAGATAAAAAATCAAGGTAAGTATATTTTTTATGGTAGCTTTGTAAATGTGTTTGGATTCAACCAAGGGAAATCATGGTTTCTAAGCAAAGGATTCTTAATGAATGTTAAATTCCCGTGATTAATTTTATAACAAGGAAATAACAGAGGGTAAATATCTTTCAAGCTCAGAACTTTAATTTGTTTCTATTTCAGCATCATAAAATGAAGGGCTTAAATGGTTATTGCTTTCATCTTCTAAGATTACACAAGTCCTCCCATGAGTGTTCTAGACAAGACAAGTATTTCTTTTTAAAAATCAATAGCGAAAAGAATTCTGTAGCCTGTCTTGGGGTAGGATTCACCCTCACTGGGAAACACTGTTTGTAGCTAGTATATGTTATGATTTGTCTGCTTTTCTTGTCCTGACCTCAGTGGAGTTGACAAAGATTGTGTCATTGTTTTTATGTAATAACCTTGGTCATTCCTGAAAAACTGAACCAAGTAAAAAATTACTAACTTCTAACCATAAAGAGAATACCTTTGTTCTCTATTTTGATGTTCAAATTAAAGTGTCAATTAATATCAAGAAATATCATTCTTAAATAGATACAAAATTTTTAAAAGAAAAAAATTACTTAGTTTGAGCATGGTTGCTTATGGAAGTGATAAGCTATATTTGTAACTTAAAAAAAATGAATATTTATCAAAGTGGGTCCATCTGATTAAATGAGGCTCCTGTTAAAACTTTTTGATTGGCTCCTGTGTTTCAGAGAGATGTAGGTGCTGGGGATACAGTGGCAGAAACAGGCAGGGTTCTTGTCTCTGTGGAACTTCCCGTCCAGCAGGCGTGCTGTCTTTAAATGACCACACACAGACAGGGAGGTATGAATTATCATTGCACCTGAAAAACTGTAACAGGATGATGTAGGAGGATCAAGGACCCGGAAGAGGTTTCTCTTTGGAAACTGAGGATAAGCTGATCCTGAGAATACAGGGAGTCCCCAGTTTATGACAGGGTTCTGTCTGACAACTCTGTCTTAAGTCAGTTCTGACATAAGTTGAATACCTGTTTTTCTTTTTTTTTTTTGTTTGTTTTTAAAACTTCTCATCATCATTGCCTCTTATTATCAGCATCTTCCTAAAACCGATCTTTATTTACAGTTTTTGGGGGTTGCAATGAGAATGATAACAGCAGCAAACTACACACTGTAACATTGTATGTAGTGCATATTAATAACGGTAAGATGTAGAAAAAAAAACTAGAGGGTCATAAGCGTGGTTCATCATAAGTCGAATGCATCGTAAGTCGGGGACTACCAGTACGTAAAAATTAGACGAGTAGAGAGAGGAACTCCTGTTGGGGAAGAGGCACTTTATTTACAGGCTCTTAAGTGGGGAAAAATCTTGGCAAATCTGGAGAGCTGAAGGCAGCCAAGGGTTTGCTGGATTGCAGTTATGGGGGTTGGGGAGCACAGAGATGAAAGTGGGCAGGCAGGACCATCTGCAGGGCCTCGCATGCTGTGTTAAGGATTTTTAGAAAATTATTCTCAGTTCAATGGGGAGTTACCTGGGGAGTGGGGTGGGGGGGTGACATCAGCTATTTTTACATAGGAGCAGATGAACAATAGTATATTATTAAGAAAGACTCCAGATTTTCATCTTTGAGTGGTGCAGTGGGTATAGATGTCTTTTACTGAGTTAGAAGAGGTACAAAGAAGAGCCGACTTGGGGTGACGGTCTGGATCAGACTTATTTTTGTTACCTGGTAGATGTTTGTTTCTAGGATTAAAACACTGGTTTGTTTCTTGTCTCATAAAGTATCTGACGACAGAAATAATAAGGAATGAGAATGGTGAAGTGCATACAGTGTTTTCTGTGCTGAGGTCTGGGAATCTTCTAAACACCAGGCTGCTCAGCTCATTCTCACGTGTTTTGCTCCAGCCGTGTGGGACGCTCCAAACAAGCCGCTACTAAAGAAAACGACTCGAGCGAAGAAGTAGATGTGTTTCAGGGTAGCCCTCCTGCCAATGACGATATCACACAGGAAGAAACCGAGGAGGAGGAAGTTTCTCCAGTAAGTGTATGTGTTTATTGAATGCCGTGGGTGGTGGGGTGGGACACAGGAGCACAGCTGGTACACATGTGGTCAGACCCACTTAGCACTCGCTGTCACTTACAGCTCGAAATGTGCTGTTTCTCTTCATTGGCTGTGGTGTTGTTTCATCTACAGGCTGATTAGTGGACAGAACATCTTTAACGGAAACCTGAAACTAAATGAGAATAATAGATGTAGCCCAGGGAAAATGTAAATGTCAAGTCTAAAACTGAATGTGGAGAACAAGAAGTAATAGTCTAACATTGACACTTCAAGCATTTAAGTTGTACCTTGATTTTAGTGCCCTGGCATCCATTAAGTACACTATTATTTATGTTTCAGATTTCTGTTTGAGATTCACAATAGAGTTTTTGTTTATAGTAATGGGAAATTTGACATCGATTAAGGGTAATAGTTGCACAGCATGATCAGTGTAATTGATATCATTAAGCTGTACACCTGAAAAAGATTGAATTGGTAAATGCTGTGTTATATATATTTTTACCAAAAATAAAAATAAGAAGAACAGCTGCTGAAGCTGCTTATGTACAACCATACACCTCATGAGACCAGGAGAAATGGATGGTGCCTGGCTACCACTATAGAACATTTTGATCACAGATTCTGTAAAAAGAATCCTGATCAAAAGGGGGAAAATACAGAACAAAATGTTGAATTTTCATGGAATCCAGATTTTCTGGAGCCATGGAGGCTGGGTGACACCCCCCACCCCACCAAAACTATTGCCCTGGGTTAACTTTCATACCTTAAACCTCAGACTGAAACTATCCCCAGAATTCATCTTTAAACTAAACATTAGTATAGCTTAATTAGTAAAGTCTGTCTGCCCTGAGCATTGTGCTCTTCTAAAGAATTATCTATATGGAATCAAATTGACAACAGCAACTTGAAAGGTTAGATGAGAAACTTAGGGGCTTGTGAGTTTATGTTAAAGCTGGTAGAATAATTTGGAAAAGGATAGTGAGAATGGTTGCACAACTTGAATGTAATCAGTGTAACTAAAGTGTACATGTAGAAATTATTGATGTATGTTTTGCCATGTGTATTTTCACCAAAAAAAAAAGTATGTATATAAAAAAATTTAACAATTACTGAGTAAATTGTTAATTAAAATAAAATCCTGGTTTGTTTATATTCCTGTTGGTAATACTGATCCTTTTTGAACTAGAGTTTTATGCTTTCATTAGTGCTTGCCAGTAAATAGCATTATGTGTAAATCTCAGGTTATTTATGTGTATTTGATCATTGTTAGGATACAAACTCCGTAGCTGTTTTTCTCAGAAAGACAGCTGTAATTCAAGCGTAAGTTCATACGTATCAGTTGTTCTTTCAGTACAGAAAGATACGTAGAAAGATGATTGATCCCTTTGTCGATTGTTCTTGTGAATAGTGGCTTCTGTTCGTTTCTCTCTAGAATTATTAAAAATTCTAATAGTTTTTTATAATAGTTTTTTCTTTTTCTATTCTGGAAAAGGCTATTTATATCTAGGAAGAAAGGCTTTGTTGATCTGCATTCGACAACGAGCCAGTAAAAACCTGTATCCTAACGGTCCTGTTCACAGCCGATCAAGGCATTTTGTTCTCATTTGCATGGAGTTGCCATGAGTTGGAGGCTGACTCTGTGGCCGTGAACAATGACAGCAGGAGCCCAAGTATGACATAGGTCTAAGTACACAGTGCCAATGCAAAGAGTGGAAAGGAGGAAGGTGTTAGGGAAAGGAAAGCAAGGAAAATCAGGAGTGAGAGTGAAGATTGGTTAAAAAAAACGACTGCCGTGTCTACCGAGTGTGCACCCGTTTTCATTCCATGACTCTTGGCTTTTCCTTTAGGTGCGGCGGAGAAGCTCTAAAAGGGACAGACGATGAACACGTGTAGCTAAGAACTCTCTTTTGAAAGCTTTGAAAAGAATCATTTTTTTTTTTGTCAAGCTTGAGGCTGAATAAAGCTTTTGCTGCACAAAATGGGACTGCTGAAGACTGGACAGTTGACCCTTCCTTCTCTGACCTCACACATTTGCGGTCGCCGCTTCAGCCACGCGCATGCTGACGGCATTGACCCTGGAGTCTTGTGAAAGTGGGATGTGCGATGGCTGTGTAGACAAACTAAAGAAGAAACTTGTAAATATCCTTTTTTTTTTTTTTTTTTTTTTAGTGTTTCTGACTTCTCAAGTGCTTGTATAGCTTTTATCTGCGGCTTTAAACTGACAGTACCTGACTGTTTATTGGATCTATTGATTTGAAAAGAGTTTGTTAGGATAGATCGTAAGCAGTAACCTGTCAGTGTTTGTATTTGTATTCTCTGCAATTTTACTGTGAAACGAATTTTTCAACAAATGGTGTCATTTTCTTGATGTCACTGTTTGTTGGGGAGTTCAGCGGTTTCTTCCCCTTTAGTGTATACTCCCTGGGGTTTACTTCTGGGCACCCCTATCTCCAGAGGTGCTAACTCGGCTGCCATTACAGGCGAATGATGCCTCTCATGGGATGACACCGTGCAAATTGCTAAGTAGTCCTTACATTGTTCAAATTATTTTACACCTCAGTATTGGTCCCAGAATTTTCCGTCCTTCCATGGCAATGAAAATTTAAGAAGAGAGAGATTTAAAATATTTTAATTTTAAAGAGTGTGTTATAAAATAATGTACCGAATTCTTTATACCATTTTATCATCCCTTTTCAGTTTTTATTAATCTACTGTATCAATAAAATTCTGTAATTTGAATGAGTTTTTAATAGTCTAGAATGTTATTGTGTATAGATATTTCCTCCTGAGCATTACGTTCAGAAAATGCAAATTATTACACTATAATATAAAATCTGATATATACACATTATAAAATTCGAGTTTTCCATACAGTGTAAAGTTGATCAGAAAGAAAAATTTTATTGATGCAGTGTATCTTTAAAACGCTGTTCTTGAAAGCCAAGTGTTTTGTATTTTATAGTGAGTTGCATGTTTATGAAAAAAAGTGCTGAAAATGGGATGTGCTTTTTTCTGTAAATTCGTATTTAGCCATAGTATATGATAGATTGCCCCATAATGTAGTTTTTCATCAAGAGTTTATTATTGTACTTTATTTTGGAGCCAAAAAATTGTTTGGGGGGAAGGGTGGGAGTGATATATCCAAGTATATCAGCTACTATAGGTATCACAATCTTATGAGCTTTGAATAAATTCCACTTTGTCCCGGTTGGGAGAAGTGGAAATTTATTTGGATTTAGAGCAGATTTTTTTTTTTTCCATTGTTGTAATCTGCAAAATATAGAAACAAATTACTTAAGGCAGTATCCTTTATACAGTTGTATAAACTGTATTTTGAACCAAAACATAGGTTACTACTTCATGCTTAACTAAATTTATCTTAGTATTTCAGGTGCTGTTTTATTGGTTTCTTTGTGGTTGTCAACATCGGAAAAGAAAATCATATTCTAACTTATTAAATTTGTCACATTGAATGATGGAGCATTTTCATATAATACACCATTATGCTTAAGGTATATTTCCAAGATTGGTTATACTAGATAGGGGGATGTAATAAAGAAGCTACTATTTTGGAAAATGACATTTTACTATTTTCCAATGTATGTTGCAATCGATGTGATTGTTTTTCTTTTAAAGATTTCTTCATGTTTATGAAACATCCTTTTATTTCTTAAAAAAACGCTTTGAATTCTGTTTTAATCTCTCAGTATTTAGTTATTCTTCATTCACAACAATACTGACACCAGTGATTATGGGAGGCTGCTGTATATCAAGGCAGCTAATGTTGGATCAAGGTCCACTGGTTTTTCAATGTTTCACTAGCTCAGTTCTCCCAAATAGGCTGTTTCTATTCAGCAGTACAAAGGCATGTTTCTAAATCTATAAACTAAAGAATAAGGGATAGCTTTGTATTTTTGTCGTTGACTAAATTGCACCGGAAATGTTTATGGAAATATATCTTTAAGACCATTTTATAAAACATATGAAAAAATGATCTTGAAACTGATCGTGGAGGATTTTTATTTGCATGATCATAGCTAACCAGATTTCATTACACGTCAGTGCTGTACATCAGTTCACAAACAGTGTTCACTGTAGATTTTGTTTATAATGCCACTGAGTCTGTGATTTTACAACTTGTCTGTTGTACTTTTTTTGGGAGAATTATGTAAACTTTTCATTATTCTGTAGCAAGATAGGTGCAATAATGATCAAAGTTTGGATGTCCTGAGTCTTCATCTTACGGGAGCATCTTACTGTGTTTAAGCTTAACATTTCATGTACTAACATTTGGAGAGCCACACACTTTAGCTAGAATAAGATTGAGTCTGTATAAAACATAAATTGCTAACAGTGGTTAGCAAATGTCAGTGATAATGTTCATTTTGAAAATATGTACTGTATAACATTAAGAAAATATTTAACTCACTGTAACAAGTCCCATTATGAAAATCTTAGGATTTCTCAGTGAGGTTGTCTTGCTGCACTCCGTAGCACATGCGTTTAATCCGCAGTGTAATCAGAGCCCTTGCTGCAGTGCGACAGGAAGCTTCTTCAGTGATCTCCACTGTATATGTAAATTACAAACGTGGCTGTACAACTTGTGCCAGGTATTAAAGGTTAAATTACTTTCTGTATCTTCTTACAACTTGTAAGTTTGATTTTTAAGATTTACTTTTGCCCACCTGAAGACGGTCAGGAATTTAGGAACTTGTCTAACTTAGGCATATCTTCCCTGCCGCATAGTATTACGTTACCGTAACGAACCATTGGTATTTAAGTAGATAACCAATTTTCAGACACAGTTTTGGATTTTCTGTGAAGTTGAATAAACATGAAAGTTAATATAACTTGTATTATTTTATTTATATGAATCAGTATATATTTAAATATGTGTTCTAAATAGAGAAAGTCACATTTTGATGATTTTTAAATTTTGGAGTCTTTGTTTAAGAAGAGGAAATCTCTTTCCTAGTAACATTTTTCAAACTTTTTGTTTAAACTTCTTGATTGACAGAGATTTATTAAGTACCATTTAAGTTAAAGAATTGCATAACTGAAAAAAATAAACCTACAGTATAAACTACAAAAAAAAAAGCACTAAGAACATAGGTTGGCTAGTGGCAGTCTTATTAATTTGTTCAGCAAATGTTTATGGAGTGCCTTCTGTGTGCCAGGCTAGTTACAGAGGATAACATGTGATCAGAATAGACCAAGTCCCTACCCTTGTGGAGGTTACATCCTAATGGGAGCGAGGAGAATAAGTAAACAATAATTAAATATATAATATCAGGTTGTGAAAAGTGTGGTAAATTTTAAAAAAGGACAGGATAGAGGGTAGAAGTGGTTGAGGGAGAAGGTATTTTATATACTTTAAAGCTATGTTATTCAGGAAAGTTAGGATTGCTATGTCCTTATGATGAAATGACACTTTTATAAATACAAAGTGTCACTTGCTATCTGTAGTTAATACTTTTCTGTGTATTTTGTCTGATATTAATATAGCCATACCAGCTTTGTTTTGGCTGTTGTCTGTATGATAAAACTTTTTCTCTCTGACCATGTACTTTCAACCTACTTATGTCCTTAAATGTTGTGTAAATAGTTTGTACTTGGGTCTTGTTCTTTTATTAGAGTGTTTAGACCATTTACATTTGGTATAATTACTGATATAGTAGGTTTCAAGGCTACCAACTTGCTGTTTATTTTCTTTTTTGCCAATCTCTTATTACACCTGTTTGTATTATTCTTTTAGTGGTTACCCTGCAGTTTACAGTGTCTGTGTCTGGCTCGCTCATTACAGTCCATGTTAGATTAGCGCTTTTGCCACCTTCTGAGCAATGCTGCCCCACCCTTTGTGCTGTAGTTGTCTTCTGTTTTGTGGTTACAAGCCCCACAATATTATCGTGGCTTTAAATAGCCAATATTCTTTTGTGTTAACCCATAAATTTTCTCTTTTCTTTGCTGTTCCTTTTTTTGGGGGGGAGGGGGAAGGGGTAGTTCTATGCTTCCATTTGAATTTATTTTCCTTCAGCTTGAAGAACTTCTTTACTGTTGCTTCTAGTTAAGATCTGCTGGCAATCAACTCAAGTCATCTTTGGTCAGTTTGAAAGGTCTTTAATGCCCTTTCATGTCTGAAGGAAGTTCTCATTAAATGTAGAATATTCTAGATTGGCAGTTTTATTTGATACTTTAAAGTTGATGTTACATTGTCTTCTGGTTTTCATATTTGCTGTCAAGAAGTCAGGTGACAATCTTGCTCTTTTTAGGTAATACATATTTTTTCCTAGCCACTTCTAGGATTTCCTCTTTACCTTTTGTTTTTAGCAGTCTGACTGTGGTGTGCCTAGGTAGGGTTTTCATTTTATCTGTGCTGCTTGGAGTTCACTGAGCTCTTGAACTTGCGGGCTAATGTCTTCCATCAGTTTTGAAAAATTCTTTTCCATCCTCTCATCACATATTTACATCTACTCCCATGTGCCTTTTATGTCCTTTTTTGCTCTTTCCCTTCTTTTTTCTTTCTGCTTCAGTTTGGATATTTTCTATTGATCATCTTCAAATTTACCAATCTTGTCTTTTGCCATGTCCAGTCTGCTATTTAACCCATCAGATGAGTTAATTTCAAATATTATTTTTCAATTCTAGAGTGTCCAGTTGTAGATTTCATTTTTCTGTTGAAAGTCTCTACCTTTTCACCCATCTTTTTCTCTGTTTTCTTTAACAGTTATTGTTCAAACCTTTGTGAGCTGACTCCAGCATCTGAATTGTGGGTCTGCTTCTATTGTCTGTTTCTTCTCTTTATTATCACTCACATTTTCCCTGAGCATACTTTTTCTTCCTCTTCATAGGCCTTGTAATTTTTTTATTAGTGCAGGATATTGTGTATAAAAAAAACCTAAGAGATTGAAATCAATGAGATTTACCCAAAGAGAGATGATGTGCCTTTTTCTCTGTTAAGCATTATAGGGATTGGTCACTTCAGTCTGTGGAGTTGGGCCTGGATTGCGGCTTTGTTAGGCCCTGTCCACTGGTTTCAAGTATCTGGAGGGCATGACTTGTGTTACATGATGGCCCTCTCTAGCACAACAAGGCTGTCCAGCCCAGCCCCTCCAGCAGGAAGGCTGTTTTACAGAAGAAGGCTTCTTTGAGGCAGAGGTATTTGGCACAGACCTTAGTTAAGTGGTCAGGCATATGAGTGTGCAGGAGAAGAGTAAGTAAAAAAACCCTTAGGTAAGAGTGAACCGTGTGTGCATCAGGGATTTCAAGAGCTATGTTTCTGGAGTGGAAGTGAGCTAGGGAGAAAGAGCCAGGAGAGGAGATCAGGAGGTAGCCAAGATCCAGATTTTTGAGGATTTTTAAAATGTTCAGAATTTGATGGGATGCATTGTGTGTGCTTTGTGCAGGAGAGCGTCAAGGTCTGACTTTTTTTTGTAAATGTTACTCTGGCTGTTGTATAAAGACTGGATAGTGAAATACAACAGTAGAAGCTCAGAGTTTTGTGTAGGTACGGCAGTAGTCCAGACCGTTGGTGGTCATTCAACACACACTGGTAGGGGTACAGGCCGTGAACACGTAGTTGGACTCATGACATGTTTTTGTTCATACGAGTGATGAGAAGTAGTAGCTGGGTTCACAATAAATTTTGAAGTTACAGCCAGTGCGGATGGGTTGGATGTGGAAATGTGAGGGAGATGAAAGATGACTCCTGAGTTCCGAGCCTGAGAAACTGAGTGCCTGG